GAAATATATTTATGTTTGTGGTTGTAATGTGACAAAATATGGAAAAGTTCAAGGGTTTGAATACTTTTGCAAACCACTGTATATGAGTTTGTATGTAATGTATGAATATAATATACAAGTTTCACTTTTTAAATGGAATTACTGAAATAAATCTACTTTTTCATGATATTCTAATTTTATGACCAGCACCTGTATATTCTCAGCTCAGATCACTTTATTTGCCAGTTTTCTGTTCAAAACAGTCTTCTTGTTCCCACAAAGTCACTCTGACTTGGCAAAAATAGCAAACTGAGGGTATATCTTGATGAACCGGTCATCTGCTCTCACTGCTCTACAGGTAAAATTCCTTCTCGACCAGAATGTTTTGTATTCATGTCATGCCAAATATGCCACTGGGGCACTAAGAACCTCTTTGTACCGGCTGGAGACAACTTTTTCCAAAGGGTGTGGACAGAAAGGTGGAAAAAAATACAGCAGGACAGACTGCACCTGAGGGAAATCAAGACAAAGAAAAAGGAAAATAATCTGGATCTTCTTTTCCTCACGTATTCACACAGCTAAATAATAAAAAAAGTTAAAGTAGCATGTAAATCTGTTTAGAMTATTGGAAAACAAACTTCAACACTTTACCACCAAATACTTTTAATACTGTGTAAAAAAGGGCAGTTTCTGCCATTTTAAACGCAAAGTCATGACTCAGACTCTGACAGAAAATGTGTGATGTCTCCGGAGGGGCTTTCAAAAAAAAAAAAAAAAAAATCTGAGATACAGTGACAAGAGTTATCTCAGCTTAGGCTTGAATATTAAAAATTTATAAAAGATATGCCGTATTACAAAACCAGGACATGCAGTTTCAGACTTTTCTTTGGATCAAAAAACATCTTGGTGTTTATCGTGTCATGGGAAATGCAGAATAAAGCTCTGTGAGCTTTATTTTTTAGTATGTTTGATGTTTAAAATGTATAAATCTTAAAAAAAAACAAAGAACAAAGATGCAGGATGATATCTGATATGCAATCATAAGCATTTTCTGCAGATTTGTGGTGACGAGACAAATATGTGCATTTTTATGACTGCTGGAAAAAAATATTCTGCTGTACAAATAATATATTTCTACGTTCCTTTTGTAAAAGGCATTATATGTAAAGTTTATTTTGAAAGATCACATTTATTGAGCAAAACAGAAAGAACTTTTTTTAAAAATATGACTTTAAGATACCCATAGACTTAAATATAAAGATCACTAGACTGAGTCCCGCCCACTGTTAGCATCTGTGACAACATGGAGGAGCAGAAACAGACCTAAAAGGGCAACAGCTCACAGCCTCCATAGGAACAGATAAACAGCAGCTGAACTGGATCTGTTTCACAGATTATCTGTCATGTTTTTACAATAAATTAATAACTATGTTAATTTCATTCAACAATCATGTAAAACAGCAGATTTATACCAAATATATATATAATTTCTAAGTAACAATGATCTAAACCAGACCTGAAGTCAGCCTGTAACTTAGACCTTAGCTTGTTGAAAAATAATGACTTCATCTAGTAATAAAGTATATTTA